TCCGGCGCCTTATGTGACACGGAATATCAAGTTTGTCAATTCAACCCGATTCATAAGCAGGTTACCCGTACTAATAAGATTGCTACTATGATATGACCATATCGAGAAGAGCGGAGTTACTTTGGGAGATGTCGACGTCTAAAGCGAGGCGGCGAAATAGTTAATATGTCCTTGTTAACGCCACTCGCAAATAACACCGAGACCCGCGATATACTGATCTCTATTGGTCTAATCAGCCTTAATTTTTACTGAAGAGCTTTGGCATGGGAACATTATCCCTTAATCCCAGTAAAGATCTTAGGCGCTAAGGTTATGCATAATTTATAGTCTACTAGGAGCAATACTATATTATGTCTCTTGTCTAATCCGCCAACGGCAACTGGTCAAAGAAGCGAGACGACAATATTGAAGAGGCATTCTTCCTGTATAATGAGCGCACAGGAAAAGCTAAGGCCGGGCCGCTCACCGATTTTCCGAACGTTAGGGGTAGCAGATATATGAGTCCAAGGGGAATTGAGCTTTTATGGTATTCTGGCTAAAAGGAGATCAAACAAAAGAACAGTAATCAAATATGCGGTTAGTTGGACTCATAGACTAAGTGATGGTTATTGCTGACATGAAATATCTCTCGAAACTCCCGCCGGCCCCGGGAAAGTTGAGTCAATAACCTCCAGACGCCCTTCTCATGTATCAAGATTTACGACTTCACAATGCATGTGATGTGTACGGACCCGAGTCGGTGGACATATGATCAGTCAAGTTTGTCCTGCTGGGTACCTTTGGCCACTAAGAGAAAACTACAGTGTAAATGGAGAAGGCGATGGCTTAAGGCTAAACAATGCATTGCGTCTCCGGGCGCTACTGGGGCATGATAAGAAAAGAGTACTGGGGTTGTGGTTGGCGTGCCTGGTGATGAAACATGAGGAATCACAATGATCGTTTAGAAGGGGAAAAAAAAAATACAAAGGCTCTCTGGGCTTGTGCGGATAGCGTAAGAATAATCCCTGTAACTCGCGATGAGTGGACGGTCAACCTGGTACATTGCATCAGGGAGTGAGTCGGGGATTGATCTTCTTTTTTTCGAGCATGAATTCTGATTTCCTAATGTGGTTCTATGCACCTCATAAGATGCATATCATATGTCGTCTGAGGTCAGCTGTGTCAACTTATCACATGGCCTAAGTATCAAGTCGACAGCGAAACCAACAAAGGTAGACTCTAGGCTCAGATTGCGGCCCGCTCCTAGACTGGATCCTGCTCTATTCTCACGTTGCATATGTAATGTCACCCCATTTGAGAATTACAATTCATTTTATTGGATATTTCGGCCCAAGTATAAGACGTTATAACGGCCATTTAAGCCATCGAAGAGAAAATAGTGAAGGCGTCGCGAGGGAAACGTACGTACCTAGCTAGGTTAACTACCTGTGTACATGATGGAAAGTAGTTTCTATTGTAGCTCCACCTCGTCCCAAGTAAAACCCCTGTCGATATTCCAAAAGTTCCCGATGCTATGGTGAATGGTAAAAAGAAAATGACTTTCTATGAGCTGGTTCGGCTTCAGGTTAAGTTTGATTTACTCGAAGCCACATACTTGTGAATAGCTTGATAAATGAGTGCCAGTCAATAGTGCCTAGGTATTGGTTCATCTTACTGCAGGAATATGAAGACTATCACCTAGTCATGGGTCTAACGACATAAATCTCCCAATCCTAGTCGCACATCATTTTTGATCGACAGCCGCTGTGAAGGTGCAATGCTAGTCTAAAGCATGAATAAAACGCATCTTCCGTAAAGGAAGCAAGTTCATCCTATCTTGTTCGGCTGAAAGGCTTATACCTATTGATTTTCTGGAAATATTGCTAACTTTGGCAAACAGGTTATTATGAAGAGGCCCTCTACGATTTAAGCCGCACTTTAGTTTAAGTAACCTAGTCCCTCGGGTCGTCTATTAGACGCAAGTCGATAGTGTCGATAAGTGAATGAGAAAACCTAAGAGGCTATTTCTGCAGCGTGTCAAAAGGGGGTTGGCAATAAGGGAGGGAAGTAAATAGATTGGACCTATGTGCATCTGGACTGCTGCAATATTAACGTGTCGTGCTGTTGTATTTTATAGCGTTACATTATCCGAAAGACTAAGATCCCGATCTCCCCAAATCTTCACCAGCCATTTTACCGGGCTGCTGGAATTGATGAGTAGGAGCTAGTATTAACCTGACTTAACATAAAAGCAATATTTCTTTACGTCTACGATCGTACGTCGGTGTGTATTGGATGGCTTAAAAATGTCTTTTGGATGTCTCTCACGGGGGTAAGGAATTTTAGCAATGAGACATATATATTAGTATCGTCGCCTTCATCTTATTAAGTTGGATGAGTGAATGTGCGATGTCATCCCAACATTAGGTAGCTAAAGTACCCCCCCCCCCGTGGTTTTCAGGGGTAAACGTCATCGTGAGCTTAATTCGTAGCAGCATTTAATGTGACGTAAAAAAAATCGGACGTATAAAAAACAACTCGAGACTCAAAAACCAGACGGTTGAAGTTACAAGTGAAGAATATCGGGAACGTACCCGAGTCACAACGGTATGGCTGTAATCTATAGCCGCCGTTGCGAAAATGGATTTCGTACGTCCGAGTCAGCCTTAACGGTTTGGGGGATTTCCCCTGATTTTGACCCAAGATCGGTGTCTCCCTGTACTCCCTCAAGGTTAACGGCCTCCATTTCACATTAGCGACTAAGGCAGAGTTGGTAACTGCATCGTGGTGCAAGTCATTTTAGAGTGATGGCATTGGCTCTTATGTAACAAGAGGGTGTCACTACTTTCAGGTTATCGTTCCATTCGTTCCATTCGTGGTTTGCTGCCCTTCTAGTGCCGGGGACAAGGATTACATGCAGAAAAGCACAGGGCAGTAACTTAAAGCTACCGAGGTTAGGTAGGTAGTCGAATAACTAACTACATACCTAGCTCGCTAGATGAGGATGCTGTAGATAATGCTATATGAGAAGGGGAAGAAAAAAAGAAGAAAAATTTGGCAACCAAGGACGATTACGGGTTCGGATAGAACTGACTGCTCCCGGTAATCCCTGTTATCCCCCCTCAAATCCCAGAATACCGTTTGCATAATCCCAGAAAACTGGTTGAACCGCTCCGTTGTGATGTTGCCGCTCGAATAACATGTTACTTCTCTTATTAGAGATCTGCGCTTCGCTCAATCCATATACTTGTTAGAAGATCTAGCGTATAAAATATCTACTCTTCGGGTCAACTATGGCATAGCTCTCTCGCGGCACTGCGTATCCCGTTCATTAACGCCCTAGTACATTTTACACTGCATTACATTCCCCCCTTAACTTTAGAGCTACAGCCTATGGAAAGTACCTATTGGCTATTATGGGAATATTCGTAATAATTCAAATAGTACTTACATCATACGAATAGCAATCTATGCTCGTCGGAGGCACTTCTGGCGCATAGCAAGTCGGTTAATCCCCTTGGATACAGGGTTGTCTGATCCAATGTCGAAGGTTGAAGTAGAGACAGCCGACTAGTGGATTCTGAGATAGTATTCGCCTCATATTTGACGTCGAGGCGAAAGGATAATAGGGATTTTCAACTCCAAGTTCCAGATAGCGCCGCCTTTTGCCAGTATCTTAGTTGGGACTCGACGTTCCTTTTTTCTTTAATCATGCGTGGGTCGATATAGGCGTATTAAATTATCTTTTTTCTTTTCTTTTCCTGCTCTCGTCATCAATTTTAGCCCCGGCGGCCTTTTTATGCCATTGTTTTCGTTACGGGAAAAACAAGTAGCGAGGTCGCCTGCATATCTTATAGCTTAGATCCTGTCCCTTTCCTGCACGCAGATCGTCTTGATCCTCCAGCCACTCACCGGTAGCTCCTAGTTTCTGATATATGCTCAGCATCTGCCCCGGACAGATCCTCTTTCATGGTTGTTTCCGGTGCCGGACTCAGACTATCACCCCCCTTCTGGCGTTATCCGTTCACACCGAGAGAAGAACGACGAAAATTTTGCTAACTTTCCTGGCTTGGGAAACATAGGCCATCCCCTGTGGTGAAATTTCTAGAAGCCGCGGGCCGTGCTCACGTTCGGTCATAGCTCTAGCTTCAAAAGGGTGGCGTTCAGCTATATCCGTCCTCCCGATCACATCTTCGTTAATCCCCATCAACCCGGTGAGATCTTCAGAATCTCCTAGGCTTACCATAAGGCTAAACGCAAATGCTACAAGAGAATCACAATCCTTGGCTATAGCTCAACCGACCGCCCCCTTTCTATCCTGGAGATAGGACGTTAGGCTGTGTGTTGCAACTGATACTCTAGGCACTGTCGGGGATACCCATTTGGTCTATATGTACAGGAGTCTCAGGTACTAGAATTGGAGCCGTGAGGACCAAGCTTCCCGATCCAGATATCTGTTGGATCCTTGTTCCCAACCTAAGGGGTTCCTCTAGGCATAGGCAGGTGACAAGGTGCGGGCATCTATATGTGCTGTCCTACCACGCACTCTACATGCTCTGTTAAGCAATACTAACGCGGTGGTTCTTGGATGAGAACTAGGTTGCTTTTATGGTCGGATTGCATATCTGGTTTCAAGGCCATAAGAAAATTTACGAACTCGATTGGCCCGTTCCTTGTTTCCTCTCCACCATACCATATTCTGCTAGCCACTGTTACCATATTTCGGTTTATGGCGGCCCCGAAGAGTGATTAAGAAGATCGAACCGAAACCTGAAGGCTGCCATCTACCATCCACCGTCAAGATACCTAGCGGGTGGAAAGCCACAGTGCAGAAGCCGGCCGCCCCCAATCCAAAGAGAAGGGTTGCTCAAAGCGGCTTACTTCTTAGCTTCTCATGTTGGAGAGTCACGTTGAGTGTAAGTATCCGCCGATAATCTCTTCAGCACAGATATATCTGAAGAGTTCGTAGCTACTCGAGCATATAACATATCCTCAGTCCGTCCAAATTCATGATAAGTATTATGTCTTGTCATTCCGCGTCCTCGCACGAGGGCTCTGAGATGGATGCGCCACAAGTTAGCTACATGGATAGACGTTTAACACCGACAAGTTCCGTCCCAGAGGTAAGACTTACCTATCAGCATCCAACCCAGCACACGCCTCCGCTTTCACCCCCTCCGCTACCCCCCCGTCTACAATTAGCCCAGAGCAACTAGTTACCCCCCAACCAAACAACAGAAAATCCCATTTGAAAAACATAAGCTGAAAAGACCCATCTCGACTCCTAACTTGAGACCGCAGGGGGAAAACGAAGCCGATCATGGTCCGCTCGACCTTCCCAACGAGAGAAGGAGGAACAGGCTCGGGTACCATCGATCAACGGTCGCATGTGGTAAGTGGTTATCGCATCAAGCAGCGGCCAGCTCAAAGGAAGGTTCGTATGAGTGTTAAGTATAAATCGGTATAGGACATTGTCGGAAAAGGAAGATCAGGTGTAAGAAGCCTGAGGTAAAAGATCTCCTGAACCGATGTGAGAGTTGTATCAATCTCAAGAAGCCCTGCGTATATGCCGCAGTAAATCCACAAGCACCACCACACACGATAACACATCGGCCAAGAAGAATGTCGATTGGGTCTAACCCTACGTCACCATCCACATCTCCCGGGATGGTAATGGGTCATATCGTAGAAGGGCAATCGAATCCGACCTACCACCAGCTTACAGCAATGCCATCGATGCCAAATATAGGGCAACAACCAGTAGAAGCTGGTGAAGATGAGACGTATTCTATCAGGAGTACGTGTAATATGAACCTTTCTTTAAGGACTTACGGCTATGAGCCGTTTGCTAACAAGCAGAGAAGTTCCATCGACTACACCTAGTAGCCGGTCGTTTAGCTATGGGCAAGTAGCAAGTGGTTGGATGTCGACTGATGCGGATGCCAGCGCCGAGACGGCGCCAGGGGCCACGAACACTCCCTGGACGACATTTCCCCACGATGTGCCCGAGACCACGGGATTCTCCCAATATGCCTCCCACGTATCGACATGGCCGACGAATTCACTCGGTATAAATAGAATGGATACCGAGACGCACCTTGATGATACATGGCGTCCGTATCCATCAGGCGCTAGATCGATGTCATTCAACAGCCACCAATCCGGGCAATTTGATTCCTCGTCGACAAGACCATACGATCGTGTACAATCACCGAGCGCAACCGACATCATGCCAGAAGCGAGCTTGGTCGCTCAGGGGTCTCTTTCTGCTGGTGCCACGCCTCATCTAGCATACGATGTATGGCAACAGCAATACCAATATCCTAGACCCAACGAAGACTATGGCGGATGGTATGAGAACGGTGACCATGCCGCTGGAGCACACGTCTCGTCTAACGAGGATCCCTCTCAAGTCAGAGACGTCTATTATAGCCAACGATGACTAGGACTCGATCGCAGCATGGTGCGAAGTGGCAGACTACTCGCAATATTCTTGCTGCGTATTCCCCACCGCAGTATTGCATTCTGCCGTCGTCTGAAGTTGACTTTCTCATATAAATCAAGTTATTTAAATTTCCCTTTTGTGTGTTGATGGACGAAATCGACAGTTCCTATTTCGAAATGTAAAGAATGCCTAGATAAAACAGGAAAGGGACAGGAACATAAAGGAAAATATGCGAATCGGAAAGGGGCTGAGCAATGGTTTCAATCCGGTACAAGGATATGTGGCATATTTATCGCATGGTGGGATCGACATATATATACGCCTTGTGAGACTGAGTTAACGGCAATCAACCCTTCGACGGGAACTAATCGAAAAACTCGTCCTACTATCATATCGGCCTCAACTAGCCAAGTAATATACACACCATCGCTGGATATGCTTAAACGGCGGCGTCAAGCATTGATTGGCCCATAGAAAAGAAACTACCCACCAATATTTCATTGTCGACTTTCCGCACGGATGAAACGCAGCTATTTTCGAAGAACATATTGGACTACCGGGCAAGCATATGATCGTCCCCTCGCTAACCTACGGTATTTGCCGGAGTACGCCAATTGATGTAGGAATAGGATACAATAAGAATAGATCTTTTGTTATGGGTAAAGGAATCTTTTATATAAGAAGCTGGAAGAACCGGAGGGAGGCGGTTAACTTTTCGCGTTTGAGAGGTAGGACCTAGCCTGGGGTAAGCGATCCCAATAAGATCTCAACCAACCCTTGCGCTGCCGGTAGTGGGTATTCGGTAACCGATGCGGCTGCCCGTCTGGTTATCCCTTGAAAACGTCCCGGCCCGGAGCATGTACTCAGTTCACGGGCGTGACCAGGTCGTAAGCTGCTTGTTACGGATCCTAAGGTCGGAGGAGGCGCCTAAGGTTAGGCGAAGGCTTTACTTTTTTTTTACGCAGTGCCGAAGAGCATGTCTCGCTCTAATATCTAACGGTGTTGTTATTCGTCGGTTGGCTCTCCCCTCTTCGTTAGCTATATATAGTATGGCCTAGGTAACTGGAAATTTTCGCGAAGGGCGGATCGCGCAAAAATGGCCTTCGGATGGGGGGGAGATGGGTATTTGTGAGGCTAGAGCGTTTTGCATTCTTTGGGTTCTTGGTAATAAAAGTACGAGTGTGTTCTTTGATTTCCTAGACCCCCTTACCTACTACATATCTGTACTCAATTGGGAGTATCAACACTCTCAGTAGATAACTACCCATAGCATTTGCTAGGACGCCTTGAATGTGTATATGTCAATTAAAATGCATCGTCATGTTAGAACATACCAAATGTGACATTAGCAGAGCATACTCAGCCTACAGACACCGTAAAAGATTATTACCCGACTGTGGATAAGTTAATTACCACACAGCTGGCATTGACTCGGGATGTAAAGGCTGTAACCAGTAACACAGCCTGGATACGTCTGGGGGTTTGGCGAGATTACTCGTTACTCGTTACACAATACCTAACACAAAGCGAAACTCACTTCGGCGTCGTCGTGCCTAGGATGTCTTAGATGCACAACAAATATCCCTTATGGATGCTCCATTATTTTATATGTCGTGTGCTCTACCATAATAGTTGCGTAAGCTGACGTTACCTACGCCGTTGTACAACACCTCAGTCTAGCATACTCCCACCGAAACAACCGAAGGCCGACGACTATCTACTTTAAGAGGTGTTACTAATCCTGGAAGCCTATTGTAAATGATAGCTAGCAAATGATACAGGGTTCCGTTTCGAGCTTCAAGACTCTGTAGGTTTCCGGCCACCATTCTTCACGCCTCCAGTTGCCAAGTTAGAACCATTAGACCAACATAAGCTCCGATACTTAGAGCGGTGAGAAGCAGAACACTATTACCACTGGTGCGGAACTTGCTCGTTACCTCACCATTGTTATCGGTCGAGATAAAAAATTGGGTGTTACCCTGGTACCGACGATATATGGAGCATAGCAAGACTGCTGCGCCATAAACGGCAAAGAGAGCGCCTATAGCATAGAATTCGGAGGTGAAGATCTTAAGTATGATCAGAGCAAAACTGAATTGCGAGAGAGCAGTCCGCATATATGCCCCTTCAAAGGTTCTCTGAGCAGCTCGGATCTCCACCAGCCTATGCGGAGTGAGGAATTGAGAGTTAGTTATGAGTTCTCGTCGTCTACGAGGTACACGTGAGGCTCGTACCCGCAGTCGGGTTCTAATGTAAATAACTACATGATACTGAGATCTTCCGTATAAGGTATCTAAGCGGGTAGAGTTGAGCCCCAACTCGGGGGATTCAGGGGTGGGTGGGTTCAGTTGATAGACGGGAGTGTTTGACGTACTCTTGGGTTGTAAGAATGACCGAACGGGCGCGGTGCTTTCGAAGATGAAGACGATCTTCTGGATTTGGCTAGAACATGGTAAGTCAATACCTAACTGGCTACATACATGCAACGATATGATATGTCAGGGGATGATATATTAGGGAAAGAATTTGCGTGGGATTACTTTGTTATTATAAGATGATACTAGTAAAAATACCTTCCTGTATACCGGGAGACCTTTCTTAAGGTAGCAAGAGGAACGAACTAACTTACCTGAAACATATTTCCTAGTATAACTTGGAATTATTTTTACTCCTCGTAGTGAGATTAACGTGCTTTTATCTTAATACTTCGCATTATGATATGGTGGTTAGGTGACGTCGATGGTACATAAGGAGGGCACGTACTATGTAAAAAGGTTAGGCGTTCGAGACTTGCCTTAAAGAATGGCGAATGGTGTTGTTGCGGGGGGAAGGGGGGCACTATGTCAGCCCCCCACCTCCATATTTCGGGACGGGAACTACGGGAAGGGAAGTCTTAGGGCAAACACGTGACCCTCCTCGGTTCTTTGCTTCTACTATTATGTAAGGTTGCTTGTTGCTTTTCGAATTTAGAACTCGTTGGATTTTAATCCAAAATCCTAACAAGTTTGATACGCCAATGATGCAACCTTTGCGGCACAGCGATATCTGCAAACTTACCTCCTAACACTAGCACTCAAAGATCCGGAGAGATCTTTGCAGAATCGGGGTAGTTCTCTATAAACGGCCGTGTTGCATCGCGGTTGCGCGGTAAAAAATACCAAATTCAGCGCTGTGCCGTTTTAATACCGACTTAACACTAACGTAGCAGCTTGTTCCATTTCCTTGGTTTCCTTAGTGTCATTGCACACTTACGCGCTTACATCGTTGCATCTCTATCGTTTGACACAAACCACGTCCCAGATCTCAGATTCAGTACATACCTAATCTAGTACTATACATACTTCGAAGACTCTGGAATCTATATGAACTCGGTCTCCATGTCCGCAATGCTCGCTTCTACATACACGTTGAAGACGGCTCCCCGGCAAATGCTGTTTGTGGTCACTTCTGCCTGACCTTGTTACACACCATCTTAATTTCTACTTCTAGGTAGATATGCCAGCGCAGTCGTGGCTGTGCTCTGCCATTTGCACTCTGGCACTCTACGCTCAATAGACAGCCGTGGATTTCACGCTACTGCAGGCTATCGAGGCAGGGACATCAATTAATCATATTCAATTGATTATATACCTACCTAGGTACCTATGCTAAAGGAACCTGAAGAAGTTCTTCCATTTCCTCCAAGCCTACCTATTAAGACGGTATAATTGCGATATGGGACGTGTCTGCTATACCACCAACCGTGGAGGCTCGTGCTACGGTAGCATTCACTAATCATTGTCTCTCCCAATGAGAGGATCGAGACAGTAGTTAGAGAATGTCTGATAGGTATTTTCCCAATGAGAATCCACGATGCGGCTGGAGCAACAGGGGGGTATCATCTTGATTCGTTCACCATGTCTAGCCTAGAATCTCGAGGGAAATGGCTCGTCTTGGATCTCGGTATGTTTTAGTTTACTGCCACAAACTCCACAGAGCACCGCCATATGTATGAATTGTTCAGGGCAGTACGGGTCAGCAAATGTCATCATTTTGACTTATAACAAGCCTCACCTGCATAGTACCCGTCTGTCATCTGAAGTGCCTTGCGATCTCGCTTGGTTGAATGGTACATATATCTATGCCATCTATGCAGCATGGTGGGCTCACAAGTGGGGTGCCCTGGGCTGAGAAGGAAGCGAAGAGTGCCTTACAACCCCTGTTCACTCAATAGGCAGAACGCCTCGACGGGCTGGCCATGACAGAATCACGGACAGGACCCAATCAAATGGCGCAAGATACTTTCGAAGGGGAGCCGCAGTAGTGCGCGCTCTCTATCATCAATGTACCTATCGATTCGCAAGAAAATTGCCTTGTCTACTTTGCCCATCGACGTAGACAAGTGTACTGCCCATCTCAGGTCACCTCATCCTCCATTTCCCAACTTCTCTGCCCCCTTTATCCCTAGTTATTCAGTCTCCAGTCTACAGTTCCCCCGGTCTACTGAAATACTAGATTCTTAAGCCTTCAATCACCAGTTTCCGTCATCTCTCCTCCCCTCATCCTTCCCCCTGGCTCTCCTTGTACTTTGCACGGCCCCCCCTTGCAATTCCATCGGCGCATGTTTCGATCAGATTGTCTTAGGCGGAGAAAAGAGGTCGCGCTAAGCTGGGGGTATTTCCATTTTGGCGCCGATTTCCGTTCAACTCCACTCTCACCTTAAGCGCCGCCGCCGCAGTATCGGCTTGCCGACTTAACATTCCCTCCCCAGCATTGTAACCACGACTCTACTAGATCCTCTTCTGATTTCTGAATCAAGCCTTTTGATATTCAATCGAGAACTAGGTCCATCAACCTAGATATTATACGTTTTTTCTTCTTCTTCTTATTTTTCGTATATCACCAATTACCCCGTGACATAGTTGAAGATAGTTGATCTTGAAGTCATTCCGTCGCATTTAGTTCGCAAGGCTCTGGCTCAGCCATCTTCACAATTGTCGTGCTCGCCGCTTATAGTATAGGAGGAACATGGTTTCCCCTTAACAACCAACATCTATCAAGAGCTGCGCGGTTCCAGTATTATCCGTTATCCTAATATATACTAGCCCTGGCTCACCCACATATCCTAATCCCAGCTATGACCATGAGTGCGGGATACACAGTTTCGCCTGCGTCGCTCGACCTTCGCGATCACCTCAGTGATCGTACACAGCAATCCCGCCGTGACGCTCACCACAGCTATAACTGCAATTACAACCATAACCAGAAGTGCCCCGTCACGCCTGTTGAGTCTCATCTATTGTCGCCGTATTCCTCCCACATTCAAAGCAACTCCGCGTCCCCTATAGCTAATCTCAACACCCCCGCGGACACCGTCTCCACCGACTTCTACCAGCCGAGCGAGTTCAGTAGCGAATTTGATGACCCATTTCTCGGGGTTGACTTCAACGACACCCAGGGTACATTGCCTCAATTCCTCGAAGGGTTCGACGGTATCCAGGAACCTATAGCCCATGTACCCATCCAAAGCAGTGTCACTAGAGATGCTATATATCCTCTAAGTCCTCATCAGACGCCTACCGTACCATTGACAGCGACTTTCGGTGGTAGTGTAGATACCAGCGCCGACTTGGCAAGTTCTACCGGATCTCAACATTTCGCAGATCAAGTTCAGCCCTTTACCAACTCCATTGATTCAAATCAATCCGCGCCTCAGCTAACGCCTGATACCAACGGTGGTAGCTTCTCGAGTGATGATAGCCTTGCATCGACTACGCTTGCTATGGCTACCCAAAGTCCTCGCGTTACCGTTTCCATGTGGAATCGGGACGAAGAAGCTCCAATACAAGGTATAGAGAGGTCCTTTATCGCGGGCGCCGAAAGCCCTCGAACTGTGCATGTTTCACAAAACTTGGCCGGCGATATGGCTGGCGAGAATACCAACGATACCACGGTGTCACGAGATGCACAAGGTAACTGGTTACCACAGTTTGCCGGAGGATATCGAGGTCTTGCTCCAGGAAACCGTCCTTCCGAAGAGATCCCAAGTCCTAATCAGCAAGCCACCCAAAGGGAACGCGCAGAGAAGAATAAAGAGGTTTTCGAATGGGTCTCCCGATCGGCTGGCGACCCGGGCAACGTCTCGGATGGTCTAGAAGGGCTTGCTAGCGGACGGGATTCGGGAGACGATAATATATCTCCCGCCGAAATTCCTTTAGGGAATACAACTGAGAACAAGTACATTCATGATCGGACATATTTTAATGTTGACGGACCAGGTGGGCCTATCACGCACGCTGATATTGATATGATGCGACAGTTCCCTACCTGGGGGGATGCGCCGGCAATTCATGCTATTCAATCCGGCTCCCAGTATCAGCCTGCAACATCACAAGCTGCTATCGAAAGGTTCAACCGGCAATGCCAGGATACCGACTCAATTGTCTCGAGAGCAGCCACCTGGGGGACGCGTCGGCGAAGCTTACCCAGCATCGTGGATATGGAGGAAATTCTCAGCGGAAATTTCTTCAAGAAGCTATCCATTAGTGGACACAGTCGCCGGCCAAGTTTCATGAAGAGGATTCCCAGCCTTGTGCGGAAGCCTAGCACTAGCCAGTTAAGGAAGCGTAAAGGAAGCAATGCTAGTGAAGTGCCGCCAGAGGATGCTGGAGAAAGTGAACGTCGAGAGTCAAAAGATACGTTGGCGCCGCCGTCGCGTACTTCTAGTTGGGGTATTAATAAGAAGCAGCCTCCTAGTTTAAATACCGCATTACTCGGGATGGCTACCGGGGCTGCTTCAATCGGGACGGCTCACATTCGGAGCGGTTCAATTAGTGCATCGGTGACTTCGCCGAAGAGTTCATTTGGTCCTCTCAGTATACCCTCCGTCAAAAATACTCTCAGGAGACCGAGGAGTAAGACGGAACTTCCGAAGAATTCTAACCCAGAATATTTCTCACACCCAAATCTCGTGGGGATGTTGAAAAAGCAAGGTGGCCCACCAGTTCCTTCACTGGCGGGGACGCGGTCGACAATAGAACAGGACGACGACGATGAAGAAGAAGATGATGATGAGGGGTTCGACGACGCCGACATAAAGACGGAGCCGAACAAATCGAAACACATCGAACCAACTTTCGTGGGTTTTCGAGAACATGTCCTTGATCAAAATCCAGGTCTTCCGAGTGAGAATGGATGGCTAGCCGACCGCATTGCGCATCAGATGGTTATACGCTATAAGCAACTTCAGACCGCGAAAATCAAGCATCTAAATCTGGTTCAACAGCAGAAGTGCCAGAGCGGAATACAATGCATTGATCTTGGTGGATCAGCTGTTCCCCTGGATAGCAGAGGCAACGAGCGAGGTCTTGATCCCCTATCAGCTCGACCAGGTTCTTCGGATGGCGACACTACGCCACTCGAAGGTGGTATTAGCTCGGAAAGTTTCCCCCAAGGTATCCCTATGCCTCCGACTTCGTCTCTTCCAGCAGAGTTCGAGTGCCAACTATGTTTCACGAGTAAAAAGTTCCAGAAACCTTCTGACTGGACCAAGCATGTCCACGAGGATGTCCAGCCATTCACATGCACCTGGGAGAAATGCTCCAATCCTAAGATGTTCAAAAGAAAAGCCGACTGGGTCCGTCATGAAAATGAAGGTCATCGTCATCTTGAGTGGTGGACATGCGACGTTGACGACTGCCGACACGTCTGCTACAGGCGTGACAATTTCTTACAGCATCTCGTTCGCGAGCATAAGTTCGCAGAGCCAAAAATCAAGACGAAAGCTGCCATCAAGAAGGCTGGCGGTGGTGACCGCACGTGGTCGAGAGTAGAGTCGTGTCATGTTGACACGTCGGAGAAGCCATCTAACGAGCCTTGCCGA